AATGTGAGTGAACTTTAAGCAATTGACATGGTGCTTCTGCTTCATTACCAATTTCATTTTTTTCCCCTCCCTCTGAAGCCAGAGCAAATGTTCCCACTGTCCTGTTCTTTCTAAGACATGAGCTTCACTGGCAGGCTCTAGTTGGATTCACCGCAGATGTGCCTGGGATCCTCGGACCCTGCGCTTTCCTTAGTTTGCTCCTTTGGTTTGGCTTTGAGGTGGGAGAGAAACAGAAGGGGACTGAACAGTCGGGAGGGAAAGGGTTGACTAACTCTCCACCTCTCTCCGTCTGGATCGTGAGCCATTTACTGGTTTACAGGCCATGCAGGAGAAATGGAGAGACGCCCCCTGTTGAGCCATATGCCCTTCCTACTTGGCTCACGCCTGGATATTTGAAGGTTGCAATGCATCTTTTCAAACTTCCAGAGGTCATTTTTGGTCTTTCCATATTTTGTCTGTTGTCTTTCACATATTTGACTGCTGTAGAACATATTCTTCCCCAAATCATGCGTTGATACCTTTAGACTGCCTTACATGGGATTCGCCTATATTTTCGAACCAAAGGAAATTGTGCACTACACCACATGGGGGGCCCCCTGCCAGGCGCCAGCTCAGTTTCCACAGATTTGTTAGGTTTTTCTCCCTGCACTATTTGCATACTTATTTGAATATTTACTTTCATTTTTACTCCTTAATATTGTAGAAAAGCAAGTGGAAAACAAACAAAAAAAAAAAAAAAGGAAAGAAATTGACACTAGTGATAAGTTTCACAAATGTAATACAACTGGGTCAAAGATGGAAATCAAGCGGGGATAGATTTAACCCCAGCAGGATGTAAGCTGGTTAGTTGCAGAAGAAAAGAATAGAAAGAATAATAAAAATCCTGAAAATACATCATCAGACATTATGTGGAAATGGTGAGGTGTACTTAAAATTTTTAGAATATCGTTTCACTCCCTGGGAATACATCTTTGCTGCTGGGCTTTCAACTTCAACATCTTTGGATATTTACCATCATTAGAATTAGATTTGGCTGCTGTCAGGTAAATAGTATTTGGCCGAGGGTATATTTATTTATTTATTTATTTAGATTTATTTATTTAGTTGAGAGAGAGAGCGAGGAGGTAGGGGCAGAGGGAGAGAGAGAAAATCTCAAGCAGACTCCCTGCTGAGTGTGGAGCCAGATGCCGGGCTCGATCTCACAACCCCCGAGAGCATGACCTGAGTGGAAATTAAGAATCCGCTGCTTAACAAACTGAACCACCCCAGGGCCCCTAGCCAAGACTAAAGGTAACCTGCAATCCAACCCTGGACAATTCTGTTTCATTAGGCTATTAAGCATATCAAAGTAATGTCCATGTATTTAAACTGTTAAATCTAAGCAGAATGAACTTCATCCCCCCCCCACCAAACTATAAACTTACTGAACAAAACTTAAGGAAACAAAGCAAATATAAACTTTATCACTCATCACTGTTACCAATTCAATTAGCAGATAGAAATTATATTCCTAACATTATTAAAAAGCCTCTTTCCAAAAGTAGTAGGCATGATGGAAGTTGCAACCTTGAGGTCCAGAAAGGATCATGTTTCTTTTTTTTCCAGTTTTATGATATATGACCCACTAGTAAGAAATTCAGGATTTCCATCTCAGGGTTCTCCCCTTCCTGAACTGCTCAAAACTGCCAGGGTTTATGTAGTCCTCAGTTTGACTTCATCCCTGAGGAAAAAAGCACTGGCAATTTGTTAATTGTTCTTCCTATTGTTTCTCATGATTTCACGTGTGGATTTTGAAAACTCGTTGTAAACAGTTCAGCCATCACCTTGGTCTACTTTTTTTTCAATGTTATAAAAATATTTTTTAAAGGTTTTATTAAAATTTTAAAAGTAAATACAAATTTGATTTTTATATCGCTTTGACTTAAATTTGAAAATAATAATTTATTTATTTGTTAAAATCTAATACATTTTGAGTATTGTAGAACAAAAAGTTTTTGAAACAAAATATGAAAAATAATTTAAAATTTACATTTACTTTGAAGTTTTGTGAAAATTTAGGAAAATATTGAATACTTCAAGTACAGTTATATGTTATTTTTAATCTACCAATCTTTACTATCAACAACACAAATTATGTGAAATCTAAATGATAAAACATTGAATTTACTAAAATTAAGAGAAAACTTAATTTTATGAACATATCAATGGAAGATATATGAGATAAATTTATAAATGTATTGCATCTTTATAAATGTATTACTCATCCAAATCTTGCTGGCCACAACACAAGACGAATGATTTGAAATCATAATTGAATTTAGTTGTCTTTAATATTTCATTTACTTTCAATTATATAAAAACCACAGGTCTACACATATTTTTCAATTTTGTGGTAATAAAGCTATATTTATTGTTTTGAGGAAGGGGTCTGCAAACTTTTTTGTCAAGAGCCAGATGGTTATTTTAGGCATTGTGAGCCAGACAGTTTCTGTTGCAACTATTTGACATTTTTTCCCCCCTTTTTCAGGCTCTTTTTTTTTCCCTTTCAGTTTATTGAGATATTATTGATACACAGCACCATATAAGTTTAAGGTGGACAACACAATGACTCGACTTCCATATATTGTGAAATGATTACAAGTTTTCTTAAGATCCATCTTCTCATATAGATATCTAAAAAAAGATAAAAAATGTTTTTTTTCCTTATAAGGAGAACTTTTAAGATTTGCTCTCTTAGCAACTTTGAAATATAGGCAGTGTTATCTACAGTGATCATGTTGTATGTTACATCCCTGCCACTTATTTATCTTAGAGAGTTCGTACTCTTTGGCCACATCCTGGTCCACTCTTTACTGAAAGGATCTGTGCACCTTGTCTGCTGCTGTCCTTTGAAGGGCGCTGTCCCTTTTCCTTTGCCCGAGCTGCAGTTGGGAGAAACTCCTTTGGTGACACATGCACGCCTCTGCCCGGGGACCAGCGGCCCCGGGCGCTGTCCCTTTTCCTTTGCCCGAGCTGCATTTGGGAGAAACTCCTTTGGTGACACATGCACGCCTCTGCCCGGGGACCAGCGGCCCCAGAAACGTGGGGTTGGACATCAGCCCAGTCTTGTTTCTGAACTCCCTGTCCCTTTCCCTGCAGAGGAAGGAGAGTGTTTCCCCGTGGGACCTGGCAGCTTTTCCTTTACAAACCTTAGAGCGCCAGGTGTCTGATCACACTTCTTTCCTGGGACAACAGCACCACCTGCTCTTATTTCCAAAAGAAGCTGAACTTGGAGGCTTTCATGGGGCCCCACATCTACTGCTGTGGAGGCCCACATTCAGTGACTCACCTTCCCTAGGATTCCCCGGGTGACCTTCAGGCATCCCTTTCTTTGAAGCTGAGGACATGAAATCAACCAAACGCAGGATGACAGATTGAACCTCTCATGGAATATCTGGTTACATAACTCAACCCAAATGTCCGATCCCGATGCTCCTAGGAGTGTTGCAGCCATCCCCACTTTGTAAATGTTGGTTATTGACTTTCTAACAACATTTCTTGGACTACTGTGACAATAGGCTTTTTTTCCTGGTGAGTTCTTTACGTAATTTTTCCCATTTCCCATTTTCAATTAAAATGGAAATATTTCACAGGATTGGAAGATGGAGGGAAAGAAAAAGGTTTTCCTTGTATCTAACTTCTTGTTTGCTTTCTCATCCCATGCAGTAGAGACAGAGTGATATTAAACATTCAAATCTGTTCCCATGTAGACTTGGGGAAATTTTGTGACTCTTTGTTTCTGTTTTTCCCTGTTTTTTTTTCCTCCTAATTTTTAAATCACAGGGAGTAATTGTTGGTGATGAAAAGTAAGAGATAGAACTGTTAATCACTGTGTTAGCAGGTAATTTAGGTAGTGATCATCAATCAACAACCTTATGTGGTACATAGATGCCTCTGTTTGCGGAAATAGGTAGGATGACAAAGTAGGCATAAGGAATGGTTTTTATCAATAGCTCATATTTATGTCAGAATAAGAACTAAATCTCAACAGATTTTCAGTAGGAGACAGATTATATAATAAGCAGAGCTTGGATGAATGACTAGCCATTTGGAAAATTATAAAGCTGGCTTCCTAATTTTATTCCTTTCACCAGAATAGATTGTAGATAGATGAAAATTCAAATTTAAGAAATGAGATTGTGAGAGTGATAGAAGAAAATATAAGTTAATTATCTTTAGAATGTAATTGTAGGAAAGGCCGTTTCTAATTACCACACCAAATTTAGAAAGTATTTTAAGACAACATTAATTTAAAAAATTGTAAAAGATCAATAGATTTGACAACATTCAAGTGTTAAGCATTTATTTCTTGACCAACACGTATGTGTCTGATGCTGTTCTAGAAGTGAATAAGCAAGTCCTACTTTTGCCCTCGTCCCCCTCCAGTCTATCCCTACTGCTATCACAGTAGCAAACCCCATTCAAAATCTCCCAATCACACCCATCTCACTGTGAGTCAAAATGGTACAATGACTTATGAGACCCTCCAAAATCTGTCCTTTTCCTTCCCTCCTTGAATTCATCTCCTATCACTCTCCCTGTCTTGGTCATTCTATGTCAGCCACACTGGTTTCCTAGCTGTTCCTCAAATAGCACACTCTGCCTCAGGGCCTTTGCACTTACTGTTCCCTCTCTCTGGAGTACTTTCTTCCTTGACACATGCCTGGCTTGCCCTCTTACTTGCATGTTTTTACACCTGTCCACCCTGTATAAAATTTCAGCTCCCCACATTGGCACTTTATATCCCTCTCTCTGATTTGTTTTTTCTCTTTAGCTTTTAACGTCATCCAACAAACATTCAGCATCTGTCTCCTCCCACACTAGAAAATAAATGGCATAAAGGCAGGGATGTTCATTCATTTCCAGTGCCCAGAACAGTGCCTGGCACAGAGAAGTCACTTAGCAAACATTGGTTAAATACTCGAGTGACTAGATAATAACTGTTTGACTCTTTGAATTAGTGACTTCAGGAAATTGAAGATGGAAGTTGGCACTCGGGAGCAGTTCAGAGCTGGAACTACTGGTTTGGGAACTCATCTGCAGGAGGTGACCACCAAGCCACTGAAGTAAAGGTGATAGAACCTTCAACATGGTCCTGAGTTCAGGATGGTGGGAAGGATGAAACCGCCAGGGAGGCACACACTTATCTCCTAGTTCCTGTGGGTCTGGAGGGAGACACAGCATGGTTGGAGCTCCTGCTCTGGTGCTCACAAGACTGCCATCGAGGTCTGAGCCACACCCGCAGAAACTGGGATGATGAGTGCATGCTGTTTCAAGTCTCCATGTTTGTGTTCATTTGTTACGCAGCAATGGATAACCAGTACATGGGTACGGAACTTTAGAAAGCCTACCTTGACTTTTATAGGTCATAAAGCTTATGTTGACGCTGGACCAGGTAAGGGCTGGCTGCATTCTGTTGTCCTCAGTTCCTTGCTCCCTGGGCCTCACCAACACGCTTCCTGCTTCCCAAAGCCGGCAAGGGAGAGGCACTTTCCGCAGGATGGACATTTCGGTCCCGCGCAATGTAATCTCACATATGCAGCCACAGACATCCCGTCACTTTTGTTGTTTTCTAGCGGTTAGAAATATGTCACAGGTGCCATGCACACCTAAGGGAAAGGGAAGACGCAGCTGCATGAAACCAGGACCTGGGCAATCCTGGGGACGAGCACTGTGGTCTGTGGACCGTGATACACAATTGTGCACGGTAGTCAGTTTCAAATAGATGTACAAATGACCTTGGAATGACACTCCAAATCTGCAAAGCCAAACCATCGATTAGTAACCTCCTCTGTCCCTTGCATGCAGGCTTCAGAGCCCCCTGCCAACATGTTCCCCTATCTTCTCCCTTGCTCCCTGCATTCACTGTTTCTGGTAATTGCTTCCTCTTATTTTCTGAAGTTTGGACTCAGAGTCCCGCCTTCAGAGTTCAAACAACAGCACCTCACACATAATCTATCTTCCCTTCTTCTCAAAGGTCCTCACATAGCTGCTTCTAAAACAGGATTTTTTCCTCCTTTCTTCCTTCTCTTGCCCTCTCTACCAGCCTGCCCCCTACTTTAGTCGGCCCGTTCAAGCTGTTTCCCACCGTACACACTGGAGATCCCCTTTTCCTCAAACCACTGCCTGTAGGCCCCATGGGTCTTGAAAACCTTGCTCATACTCATCTCTAAAGTATTTCCAGGGCTGAGCTCATCTGTGTGGCTCCTCACTCACACCCAGACCTCAGATTTCCTCTCTCGGATTTTTTTTTTTTTTTGGTGAAAGGGATCATCTCAGTGCCTTCTCAAGTGACTTTCTACAATTTGCTCAACAAGCTCTCAGGTAAGGCCCAGAGCTTCCTTTTTGATAACCGGCGCCCACCCAGGCTGAATGACCATATTCATTATTTCAAGGGTTCATTATTCTCCAGGAAATGGGTCCTTATTTTCAAGACTCCCCTGTCTGGGTAGTGAATGTTTTCCAGACATGACTCGAGAAGCCGCACATGGCTCCAGGTGTGTGGCCCATCCCAGTCTGGGTGCCCAGGCCAGCATCGTGGGTGTGTAACCTGTATCCCACAGGGTCCTGCGCTCCGAAGGGCCCTGTGCTCACTTTAACGCTCTGTTTCCGCCATCTTGAAATTTTACCTTTGAATGTGAGCTTTGTATGTGAAGCCTGATGGGACAGCACAACAGGCCACACGAGAGAAGGCATACTGTGTGTGTCTGCCGTGCCGCATCCCTGCTTTCTCATATAGCCTTGGGGATGGCCCATGAGCACAAACTTCCGGTGCCCCCCGGGGGTGTGAGGGAGTCCAGCAAGACACAAGTGGGCACCAGCAAACGCGACGCACCTGGGACTGGTGAGTAGGAGCACTGCTGACCCCAAGGGCCATGCCTTCGTCTGAGTGAGAACTCGCCTGGAATGCAGAAAGGGGGTGATGGTGTTCTAAGTCACACAAATGGCCAGTGAACCTCATCATAGTGTTTCTTACTTGTGTTACTTCTCTGTTCGGCAAGCACTCACCCTCACAGTAGGACATGGAAGGAAGGGGAAAAGCAGAGCCACCCAAAGCTCCTTTTCCTCCTGGCCTTCCTTAGCTGCCAGGAAGCCAAAGGTAGAGAGGGTTGATAGAAGGTGTGAGTATCAAGAAGTGAAATGGAAACAGTTGAGTTAGTTTGGTGCAGTGTTATCACTGTCTTGGTGAGAACAAAATACATACGCACCAGCCAAGAAGTACAGATTATGCAATTTCGATGGTTTCCACATTAGAGTGAAATGCGCTTGTATTTTCATTTCAAACTGTCAACGTACAGTATAAAGATGACCAATGAAACTCATGCGATATTTTAATTCTTTTAAAACTAAGAACAGAGTTCAATAGCAAATAAAAAAAAAAAAAAGCCACCATGATGAGTTGGGAGAGAGATCATGGAAGAAAGGGAAACGGTTTCTATTTTAGCACCTAGAACTGTACCTTTTCCGTGCACAAGGCATCCCACGTTTTCTCTGTGTGGTGGATGTGGTACATTCTGCAGTTGCACCCGTTGGGGTGCTGGCTGAGGTCAGAGATGGATTCCTTGTACTCTTCAAAGGCACACAGGGCATCAGTGGAGTCTGCTGGCCAGCAAGACCCTAGAAGAATATGTTCAAATACTTCTTATGATAGCGCACGTCTGTGTCTCTTATGCCTTAGAGCAGAGTTATAGGCAAACCAAGGTATTGATTTTCTCAGATCTCAGGGCTGTGGGCCCGGCCAAAGCTTGTCAAAAGCCACAGGCAGGGCCTCAAGTGGTCTCAGGTACTGACATCAGAATGCCACATGTATGGAGGGAAAGTTGCCTTAGAGAGGCCCAGTTGTGGGCCAGATCAAAAGACTTTTTAAAAATCTATGTGATGTTCTAGAGGGGAGGAGGGGGGGGATGGGTTAGCCTGGTGGTGGGTATTAAAGAGGGCACGTTCTGCATGGAGCACTGGGTGTTATGCACAAACAATGAATCATGGAACACTACATCAAAAACTAATGATGTAATGTATGGTGATTAACATAACATCATAATAAAAAAAAATCTACGTGATCTCAGATGTTAGAGAGGAGGCTGGGAGAATACCCCTTCTCTAAAATGGATGTGACTTCACCTCAGAACCACTACAGTGTTTTCAGCTTTGGTTCGAGCCACCTGAGAGGGGAGAATGCAAAGGAAGGAATTCTTTCTTTGGTTTGATTTTTTTTTTTTAATAAAGATTTTATTTATTTATTTGAGAGAGAGAGAATGAGAGAGAGCACATGAGAGGGGGGAGGGTCAGAGGGAGAAGCAGACTCCCTGCTGAGCAGGGAGCCCGATGCGGGGCTCGATCCCAGGACCCTGGGATCATGACCTGAGCCGAAGGCAGACGCTTAACGACTGAGCCACCCAGGCGCCCCTCTTTGGTTTGATTTACACATATTGTGAAGTGACTACCACAACAGGTACGGCTGACGGCCATCTTGTAGATGCAATAAAAAGAAAAAAGAAAGGAAACAGTTTTTTCTCCTTGTGCTGAGAACTCTTAGGGTTTCCTCTCTTTACAACCTTGCTCTCTACCATGCAGCCTTGTTACTAGAGGCAAGTGATACATTCCACCCCTAGTACTTACTTATCTTAGAACTGGAGGTTTCGCTCTTTTGACCACTTTTCTCCACTTCTCCTTCCCACCCTCCATCTCTGCTAACCACAAGTCTGAGCTCTGTTTCTATGAGTTTGGTTTTGTTTTTAGATTCCACATGTAAGTGAGATCATACAGTATTTGTCTTTCTCTGTCTGATGTATTTCACTTAGCATCATGCTGTTGAGATCTATCCGTGTTGTCGCAAACGGTAGGATTTCCTTGTTTTTTTTATTTTATTTTTATTTTTTATGGCTGAAGGATATCCTCTGGTATAGATATACCACAGCTTCTTTATGAATTTATTCACCAATGGACACTAGGGTGTTTCCACGTCTTGGCTATTGTAAATAATGCTGCTAAGAACGTGTGGGTGCAGATACCTCTTTGAGTTTGTGTGTCTGTTGCCTTTGGATATATTCCCAGAAGTGGAATTGCTGAATTATATGGTAGTTTTATTTTTCATTTTTTTGAGGCTGCATCGTACTGGTTTTCATAGTGGCCGCACCAATTTATAGTCAGCCCTGCAGTGCACAAGGGCTCCCTTCTCTCCACATCCACACCGGCATCTGTTATCTTTTGTCTTTTTGATGATAGTCATTTTGGCAGGCAAGAGGTGATGTCTCATTGTGCTTTTAATTTACATTTCCCTAATGACCAGTGATGTTGAGCATCTTTTCAAGTACCTATTGGCTTTTCATAGATCTTCTTTGGAGGAACAGGTCTTTTGCCATTTTTAAATTGGATTATTTGTTTTTTTGGGGGGGGGTTTGTGGGGGTTTTTGCTATTGAGTTGTATGAGTTCTTTATATGCTTCGGATATTAATCCCTTATCAGATATATGGTTTGTAAGTATTTTTCACATTCTGTAGGGTTAGATTGTCTTTTTACTTTGTCAATGGTTTCTTTTGCTGGTGCAGAAGCTTTTTAGTTTGATATAGTCTCACTTGTTTGTTTTTTATTTTGTGGCTGTGTTTTAGGTGTCATCCAAAAAATCATTGCCAAGACCCATGTCAAGGAGTTTTTTTCCCATGTTCTCTTCTAGGAGTTTCATGGTTTCATGTTTAACATTAAGTCTTTAATCCATTTTGAGTTAATTTTCATGAGTGGTGCAAGATATGGGTCCAGTTTCATTCTTTTACATGTAAATATCCAATTATCCCACGACTATTTATTGAAGAAGAGACTATCTTTTCTCCATTGAATACTCTTGGCTTCCTTTAAAAATATTAGTTGACTATATATTCTTGGATTTATTTCTGAGCTCTCAATACTGTTCCATTGATCAATTTGCCTATTTTTATGCCAGTGACATACTGTTTTGATGACTCTAGCTCTTGAAATCAGGAAGTGTGATGCCTCTTGCTTTGTTCCTCTTTTCCAGAATTTCTTTGACTACTTGGGGCCTTTTTAAGTTCTATATAAATTTTAGGAGTGTTTTT